ATGTCAACTAAACATAATTTGTAAATGTCAATTTTAAATTTTTTTTAATAATGAGTGAAATAAAATAGAAAAAAATAAATGAATATGTTAATAGAAATAAAAATTAATTATTACCTAAGGCTAAGATGATAAAGTACACGTTTTGAAGATCATGTTTATTGATTTACCTGTATTTTTATAAAGAATGTTATAACACAGATTGCTACGTGTATATAATATTCAAATATAATGATTCATAAGATATACATTGATTTAATTGTTTGGATTATAAAGGTATAAATTATGGATTTTACTTCTATAATTTTTCCGTTGGTAGTTGAACCCAAGCATCGTTTAAAGTATCCAGTAGACAGTATGTTTTTAGGGGAAAACCGAGAGATTTTGTTTTTTTAAAAAATAAAAATTAAGTAAAATTGAGAATGTTGTTAAACAAACAAATTTTAAAATTAATTTTTATTAAAATAACATAAATTACATATACCTATAATCATATTAGCCATTCCAATTATATGAATTTCTATCATTATCTATAAATTACAGGTCATTCGTCACCTCGTGGCTTATACCGGATCTATCCTAAGCCTCTGCCCAATCCCAGAGAAATCAGTGAGCGACTGTTCTCTGAACAGAGCGGTCAAACGGACGACGATGACAAACACTCTCTCTTTCTGTGGTCCTTCGGACAGTTCGTAGACCACGATTTGACTTTTACTCCAACAATGGGTATATTTCTATTTGTCAGTTTATTTCAGAGTGTAAGTTTTGTTCCTGAAAGCTGAATTCGATGTTTGAAACCATTGTAATTACAATTTTAACATACAGAAACTTTACCCAAAAGTGTAATAATGAAGGTTAGCCTAGTTTTGACAAAGTACTGTAAAATCACATATTTTTATGGGGTCAAATTTTCGTGGTTTGAGGAAAATCTCTTGGTTCTTGGGGATTTGCATTTTTGTGGACCAAGAATTAATGAGTACTTATGTTTGTAAGATTTCACATTTCGTGGTGGACATGAATTTGTGGGTCTCGTCATACCTAAAAAAAAAACAACGAAAATTTCTCCTCCCCACGAAAATTTGTGATTTCACAGTATGCCAAAACAAAGATATAACGACATCATAGGATAATTTAACAAACATAATGACGAAATACATAGAAAACATGCACATTATTTATTGAAAAGAAATGAAATCAAAATAAGTAAAACAAAGTTAAAATATAAAAATGTTTGATTTAGATGAAGGTGGTAAAACTCTTCCTTGCTGTGACGAGAAATACAAACGTAATATATCGTAAGTTTTTATCACTTTCATACTTGATATATTGTAAGTTTCTATCACTTACATTCCTCGTATATCGTAAATTTTTATCACTTACATACCAAATATCTCTGAAGTTTTTATCACTTACAAAAATAATATATTGTAAGTTTTTTAAATGTATATTCTAAGTTGTAACAAATTACAAACACAATATATCATATTCTTACCTTCCATATTTCTTTTTAAAAACACAATATTTCATACACATTTATTCGCTCACCTGAGCTGAAAGCTCAAGTGAGCTTTTCTGATCACATTTTGTTCGGCGTCCGTCTGTCTGTCTGTCTGTCCAGCTGTCCGTCTGTCTGTAAACTTTTCACATTTTCATCTTTTTCTCAAGAACTACTGGACCAATTTCAAACAAACTTGCCACAAAGTGTCCTTAGGTAAAGGAAATTCAAGTTTGTTCTAATGAAGGGCCAGTCCCTCTTCAAAGAGGAGATAATTATGAATCAGTGAAAAATTAATGGCATTACATTCCTCGTATATCGTAAATTTTTATCACTTACATACCAAATATATCGTAAGTTTTTATCACTTACACAAATAATATATTGTAAGTTTTCAAATGTATATTCTAAGTTGTAACAAATTACAAACACAATATATTATATTCTTACCTTCAATATTTCTTTTAAAAAACACAATATTTCATACACATTTATTAGTCTGTCTGTCCAGCTGTCCGTCTGTCTGTAAACTTTTCACATTTTCATCTTTTTCTCAAGAACTACTGGACCAATTTCAACCAAACTTGCCACAAAGTGTCCTTAGGTAAAGGAAATTCAAGTTTGTTCTAATGAAGGGCCAGGCCCTCTTCGAAGAGGAGATAATTATGAATTAGTGAAAAATTAATGGCATTTAAAAAAAATAATCTTCTCAAGAACCGATTGGCCAGGAAAGATTAAACTCATGTGGAATTATCCTCAGGTAGTGAAGATTCAAGTTTATTCAAGTCATGACCCCTGAGGGTAGGGCGGGGCCACAATGTAAGTTCAAATGTAAAGGGCAATAAAGCCACAGGTAGTCAAAGAAACATGCAAGCAGCCTTAGTTAGTGTAGATTCAAGTTTGTTCAAACCATACCTTCTCCCCTTTAAGGATTGGTTGGGACCACTTTTGGGTTAAATTCAATGATAAACTCATTTCTGCTTTTTTCCCAAGCTACAGTGCTCAGGTGAGCGATGTTGCCCACGGGCCTCTTGTTCTGATATATGACAAAATAGTTGGCTAAATTCAAAGTGTGCAGGAATAAAACGACCAAATTTATATTAAGCAAATTTTGATATTCATCCAAAACAAATAAAATGTCTGTAACAGGACCGGATGTTTTCCTATTATACGTGACGTACAAGCAAAAGAGGAGTGTATGCCGTTCGTAAGATCCGCACCAGCTGAGGAGCCCAGAAGACCCGATACTTGTGGTACTGTAATAATTTATTAATAATATTGTCATCCATATACTTTTGAAATGAGAAAATGAGATGGGTAATCTGATACTTATGGTCTATTTTTTTTTTTACAAGTTACATTTTTTAAAATCAGAAAGTATTTGTCTAATGTTTGTGTTTTGTAAAAGAATATTATGTACATGCTCTTGCATTTACTTCATTTTATAAAGCATTGAAATAAGAGATCTAGAGATAATTGGAATCTTATAAGAACTAAATGTATCAGGGTTATCTATGTAATTTAAGACTTAATTGATATAATGTCATTTTCGGGGTATTTATCGGCAGAAGCACTTTATATATATTATATATCTTTCATTAAAACCAATATAGTTTAGGTCATTTGAGAACGTTAATTTTGAATCTATAGAAATGTAAGATTTGCAAAAGAAGTAGGTTTTACCTTATGTTGTTGTGTATGCGTATAATGAAATCACACATTTTACTAAAGGGACGGATCATCGCGAACAGATTAACGAATTGACATCCTTCATAGACTGTGGTAACGTTTATGGAAATACTTTAATCGTGTCGAAAGCTGTGGATGCCGGCGTCTATGGTAAAAGAAAAGTGAAAATCTCGTTTTGTATCAAGCGTATTTTAGAAAAAGAGATAAAATTTTATTTACAGACTGCATTAAATATTAATTTAGTTTTCATTTTGACAAAGACAATAAAATTATAAAATTACACATGTGATTTCTTTGCCCAATTTAGATAATTTATCATTGAATATTATATGGAACACATAGCTCAATGTAAGAATTTTGGGAATACAAACAACCTTTGGCCTTAGTTTTTACTGCTCCTATCTCCTATATGAAATAGAAAAAAAACCCAAAAAATTTTGTATATCTGACGTCATTTTCCATTGTTTTTGTTTGTTTGTTTGTTTTTTTTTTTTTAGGTTTATTGAAGTCTTCCAACAGGGGCCGTAATCTTCCAAGAGGGAATCCAAATCATTGCAAAAATGGAAGGCAAGATGCTTCCTTTTGTCAGCTAGCTGGTGAGTCATGCCCTTAAACGAAATCTAGTTAAATTTTAATTTGGGTTTATATATAAATGTATTGTAAATAAGACGAGGTTTGATTCTCCAAAAGTATTTAAACTGAGATAATGAAATTTAATCTATCGATGGTAAATGGCATGATTTATACAATGTACACAAATAATTTTATGGAAAGTTGGATGACAGTTCTTCTGCCTTAAAACTGATATTTTTTTTTGTTTTCAAATATCTCTATAGCATGAAGGAAAACACTTAAGTTATTTTTTTACTAACAATAATTCTTCAAGTAGATGTTTTATGGTAGGTTCACACTCGACTTTCTCCAGTAAACGACGAGTAGGCCCCTATTTTTGAAATGATAAAATCTCCTTACCTCTCCATGCTTATGCGGAGTGAAATTTATATATTGTGATATATTGAATTTTAAGGACTTGTTCTTCTATCATAAGCTTGATTAGAAAGTAATCGGGGAAAAAACCGAATATTGATAATATTGCTATATTTGAGGAATCACTGTCATGTTAGTAAATTATATGTAAGGGTATCAACGAAAGTTTGAAACGTGGGATAATTTGTAAAGTATCTACTAACGTTTCCAATTGACTTTGATGTCGCTGGCATACTCTAATAGCTACATATTTGAATTTTAAAATGTAGACAAATAGTTGTTAGCCGTGCTTGCTGAAAGCAAAGTCCTGGCTATAGGCGTCATGATCGACTGTCTTACTATAAATAGCACAGAAAAAAAGCATCAAAGCAAACGCTTCCGATAAACAAAATAGTCCAATTGCGAGACGATATCACACAAATATCTAAAAAATTCCAATCATTGGAAATAGTAATGATCAATATTTTTGCTTGAGAAATAAACTGAAAGAGAAATAAGATATTTGCTTTATTTGGTATAATCGTGATATAACAATTTGTGCACATACGCTGCTGTATGCATATTGTAAGCGAACTACTTTCAATAGCACGGGCTTTTCGAAATGGTGAAATTGTCTAAGAGTTTCAAGTTTCATATCGTTTTAGTCGATGTTATGTTTGTGGTTATATTCTAGCTGTTTTGATTTTTAGCAATTTCATAGTACTAACCTCGGATCATATATCAATATACTCGAGCAATTAAAGCCTGGCTTTCAGTTCTTTCAATACTTTGATTAATTACACGAGCCCTCCCATGTTAATTGCAAGAGTCCTCCCCCACGCATTGACGTCAAACACAAATACACCCGAACGAGATTTACATTGAAATAAGGCGTCCCTAGGGTCAGACATAAAGACAGAGGCTCAAGATTTACATGCACATCAGTTCTCCCGAGATCCTGTCCTATCGTTTTGGCGAATTTTACATTTTAGTAGAATGATTTAGAAATCAATTAATTTCTATAAAATACTTGATTCTGATTGGGTAAAATTTTTTTTTGATATCTGCATCAATAAAATCTAGGGTTCGCTTGCACTAAGCAGCCGGAACTACTTTGGCTATCTTTAAATGTACATGTATATTCCCGCTTCCAGATTACTTTTAGAAGGAATAATTGAATACCTTTTCTTTAATAAATATTTTCCTGAATTTCAAAACCTGTCCGTTACGTTCCAGGCTTATTTTCTACTTACGTTTCTTTCTGAATTATCCCCCTTTGCTAAACAAATCAAACCGTCTGCATAACAACAATATTAGGCCCACAGGTTTGGGAAAGATGGAAAGAAATCGGCATACTTTAGTTAAATGATTGACTTTGAGATATCTGGCATGAACAATAGAACCCTGAAGAAATGTTTCTAATGCTACCAAAGTGGGGAAAACCATTAATCTGTTAAATCTTGGGAAACGAATGATCGAGAAAAACGACACTGCATGAATGAGGACGGAATTCTTTTAATCTTAAACAGTTGGCAGCAGACTCTTTCAGGTTTTGCAGCATAGACAGGTTGTGATACGTATTCATTTGTTCGGATTAAAATTCAGATGAAAAGATGTGTAAATGAAATCTAAAATTTCTGTGACCTAGAACTGTTAGGATATTTGAGTAGCTTCCCTTAACATTTACGAACTTAGATAACTTACCGGGGAAAATATACCCAGAGGGATAACACTACAGGTAAGTTTTTTTGTGTGAAAGAAATGTAAATTATTTCAGAGAATATTTGTAACGACACGACAACATTAGACAACGTTTCTTCCTTAGAGCCATTTTGAATGTTTAGCAACGTTAACATTGTTGTGATGTATTCGTGCGCACGGTTTTTGATGCGTAATAGAAATGTGAAAAAAAGTTTCGTTTTATAAATTTAAAATCATAATTAAATGATAAAAAATGAATGTAATATTTTTTCCTTTGATCGATGTATCAAAGAAAAAAATTGGACGGAAAACTTTTTCATCAATGCGCTACGCACATACATTCATCGAAGGAAAAAATATTACATTCATTTTTTAAATCAACTCAACTTTTAAAGTGTTATCCAAGAGAATAAAGAAATCAATATAAAAATAGAAATATTGTAATATAATACATGTATGATTCAATGTATATGTGCTTTTCAAAGGGTTTACTTCATCTCATACGAACAAGATAATATTTTCAGTCTATATACTGAAAAAAAAGAAAATATCTGTGCGTATATTTACTTTTGTTTGGAAACTTTACATGACAATATAAATGTGTTTATATTGAATCTCTCCTGAATTATAATGGGATGATATATATGGAAATAGCGAACATTGTTCAAGCTCAAATGTTCATCAAACAATTCAAAAAAGAAGCAGAATAAACACGGAACCCAAAAATTTCAGAGCTCTCATGTCGACAAGTCAAACCCTTCGTGTGTTCAATTTTTTGGATATGATTTTCAACCTCTGCCTTAGCAAAGGGATAAACCACATCACATGATTGAGTCAAATCAAAACACAGAGCACGGAATATTCTTTTATTGGACTTAATGACCTAGTTATCACATGTTTTACATTTTATATATCTACGTTATTTAGTTGAAATCATACTTTTCCCACACACCCAAAAAAAGCATTGTGACATCACACCAAACAAAGGAGGAAATGCGATGAAAAGTAACATTTTTTTTTTCAATTTTCCCTTAGTTAAGTCATAAAACATAAAATTAGTAAATCAGGTACACTCACAAGATTTATAACTAATATATATATATATATATATATATATATATATATATATATATATATATATATATATATATATAAATATATATATATTACATACTTTCTAAAACAGGAGACATACGAGTGAACGAGGTGCCTTCGCTAGGACTAATGCATACACTTTTCTTTCGCTTCCACAATATTTTGGCCAAAAAACTGAATATCCTAAATCCAAAATGGACGTCAAATACGATCTATCTTGAGACGAGACGCATTATGGGAGCGGTCATGCAGCATATTATATATAACCATTGGCTTCCTAAGGTTATCGGTCCTGGGTTAATGAACCAATACCGTCTGTATTCTTATCCAGCGGGACAAGAAGCTAGTTTCCGATACTATGATACCATAGATCCAAGTATTCTGAATGAATTCTCAACGGCTGCTTTTCGTTATGGACACGACCAGGTATGTAGATAGCTTTCTTTTTATTATTTTTTAGCTCACGAGAGCCAAAGCTCAAATATAAGATAAAAATAATATTGAACACATAGAGATATATCTTTTTTATTCTCAAGAAAAGTAGAGTACATTAGTTAAAAAGAATGGAAGCTCTCTAAGGCAAGAAGTAAGAACAGCAAAGCCATGTTTAGTAGAAATTATATGAAAGTTGTCGCAGGTAGCGTAGCTTCAATCTAGGTTAATCCATGACCCCGTCCCCAAATAATGCATAAGATTGTAACTAGTAATCAAAATTTTTAAACATATTCACCCAAACCCCCTCATTTTAATTTTATGATGAGACAAGAATTAGTCAGCTTTCTATTCACTATATAAAATTTTCTTTAACATGATTAGACAAAATATTAATTTCTGAAAGAGTGAGCAAAGCTTCAGACTTCAAACTATAGCTATTTTACCTTTGAATATATAATGCTAATGTTTTTTAATGATTATTAATGTTTAAAAAAATGTGAATATTGAGAAAGTGACAAAATAAACACAAACACCCTTTCCATATTTTTTAGTTATGAAATTATTGAAAATATTATTTACCTTTACCTTAAGATTCCTGGTTTTCTGGAAATTAACAATGCAAGATTTAAGATTGATGATGTTCTCATGGAAACTCAAGAAATAATTTCTGGTGGAGGCGGCAATCTCCGATCATTAACAGAACATTTAATGAGAACACCCGCCAAAAAAGTGGACAGGTATGTTCAATTGTCTATAAAAGAGAAGGAACAATCAACATGTAATATTTCATTCATTAGGGTCATCTACTGAGTCTATTAATATAAGATAGCAATCGTGCCATATTTTTTTTCAAGAGAACGTGTAATGCATAATATTAGCTTAAAATGATATGATCTATTTAATGATTTTAAAGCAGGTTAGGGTATCTGGAGTTAGCTAAAGTTTTTGGACCATGTCCTATTTCCAAGTACATTTAAGTATATGCTCTTAATTTACCAAACGTACATGAATGATGTAACCAAGCATGTACATTACAAGGTTTGCTTCAAATGCTAGATGTGATTTTTGGATGAGTGACCAGATAAATATTTAGCTGCATTCTTACATAACTCAAGGCCCTTTGTTTACCAAACAATATTGAAAATATATCTCCGGATGCACACTAATTGACTTGCAGGATGTGATCTACATTTCCCAGATCAAATAAGAGATATTTCTAAAGCCTATTTGAACTTTCATGGATGGTACATTAAGAGAAAACACTCCAAAACTTGCACCATATGCTAGATTTAAATGAATGTTCTGGATAAATGAAGAGTTTAATTTTTTGGATAAGTTTATTTCCAATTAAGATCGTTTTTTTTTTTGAGATCAAAATGTTATAACTTGGAATGCACACCACAAAATGATTAATTTTCCTTACTAAACTGTAACTTAAAGTCAACTTCTGTTAAGGTGAGCTATGTAAACTCTGATAAGCTATGTTCCTATATATTTGGTAATTTAAAAATAAAAAAGTAATTTAATTTCGCGACTGTTGATTTCAACTAAGTATTATTATAATATAAGTTTAACTATTAATATATTTGGGAATCTTTCTAAACAATGCCCAAATACCACTTCAATAGTCTAAGAGATTCTTTTTCAACACGTCATTAAAATATCTTTTAAAACATCTTTTTTATATTATTATGTTTAGTCGATTCGAAGAGGGAATTCGGGAGCGGCTTTTTAAGACTGGCGAGAAAGGCTTGGATTTGCCCGCCCTTAATATACAGAGAGGACGGGATCACGGATTGGCCCCTTATGTCAAATATAAAGAGAGATGTAGACAAGGATATAGGGGGCTTCCTGATCACGAGGATGAACGGAGGAATAAGTTACTGGAGATATATGGCGGGTAAATGTGTAATTTTCAAAAAATGACAATCTAATATTTCAACTTCTAATGTAAAGCATGATCTTTTTTCATGGTTTTATTATCATCTAAGGTTTGCAATATTTATTTAATGCCAATCTGATGTTTTACCCAATGTATGAAAATCTATACAGTTCATTTTATTATTTTAAAATGATAAAAAAATGAATGAAAATGTATATGATTGTAAAACAAAAATGAAGAATTTGTTTTAGGAAATGTCGTCGGAAAATATATGTTCAATACCCGATGTGTAGTATATAACATTATTTTCATATGTGCTGCTGTCAACATTAACGATTATATAATCTTTCTAGGAACATAGGTGATATAGATTTGTTTCCGGGGGGAATATCAGAAAAAGCGGTACCAGATGGCCTTGTTGGTCCTTTGTTCGGTTGTATTATCGCAGCACAGTTTCAACGACTTAAGTATGGCGATCGGTACTGGTACGAAAACTTAAACTCGTATTCCAATGTCAGATTCACCTCTGGTGAGTGATTATACTATTTAATGTTTTCATTATTAGACCTTATAAAATTTTGGTATGAGGATGGATGAACAATTAAAAATTCAAACTGATCATAAAAACTTTCAGAAATTTAAACTTGTATTTGTTGAATACATTCATTTCGAACTAACAAATATCATGTTTTGGGTATGATATTTCCCTATTTATACTCCGAAGTACTCCGAATACCTCAAATTCCTTTCTTCAGTTAAGTTTTTTTTTTCAGATATCAATATATTTATGCATGTTTTAATTTATTTAGTACATTTTATTGTGTTTTAATACACTCGTTTATTTAATTCTAGAACAACTTTCTGCCATAAAATCGATGACCTTTGGTAAAATATTATGCGAAGTTTTCAGTGAGGATTCTAATCCCTTGACAAACGTTCCTGCTGATGTCTTTAGAGTCAATCAGGCGTATGTATTTATTTATATTATAACCCTCAAGTACCCAAGACAAAATAATTAGTTTTAAAAATCCCAGAGGAAAACTTCTTTAAATTACTATTTCTATTCTTGCCGCCAATGCTTGTAAAGAAGGTTAAAGAAATTAAACTGAAATTGGGAACTATATAGTAAAATATATTGTTTATTGAAGCTGAGTTTTGTACGACAAACGTGAGTGGCTTTAGTTGATAAATGTATTTCATTCATGGAGTTTTTTTTTTACACATTCATTATTATTCTATAGGTCAACAATTGCATGTGCTGATTCAAAAATGGATCTTAGTTCGTGGGGAGTTGTGACAAGTAAATGAGATCATTCTTCATTTATATGGCTGAATCATCAATAAAATTATTTTTTGTGTAACATAATAAGACTTATTTTTTTTTTCAATTTAAAATTTCAACAACCATTGAAAAGCACATGATAAATGAAATAAAAATCTTTGTTTTAAAAATAACTGTAAAATCTATATATGTACGGTAGATTTTTTTCCCCGCAATACATATATATTCATATGCATGTACTCGAGTAGTATTTTTATACAATTTATAAAATGGAAATATTTTGCACCTAAAACAGTATTTTTAGTTTCTTGTTTAAAGTTAAAAATATCAAAATTGATGACGGTAAGACAATTTCCATCTTAAAAGATCAGTTTTATATTTGTTTTTACGTGTTATAAAATAAGTCTATGTCTCACCTCCCTGATGAGGATTTAAAGGCCGGCAGAGAAAAAAAAAATCAAAAATTGTTCCCGTTGGTATAATTATTTGAATTTAGTCAATAAACGTTGAATTGGTTTTAAAGGCAAAATGTTTCTAATAAAAGTTATAAGAGTTTTCTCACATAGCATTCCGACTGGTATTGGTAAAAGTCATCATGAGCCAGTGTTAATAAGGCAGATCCGAAACCTTCGAACACTAGCAAATTTGTTGACTAGTATGCATCCCCTACTTTCTCAACTGTTGCCTCTCCGAAACAGAGATGCTATAAATGTTTGGGCATTTTTTTGTCCAGTGTTAGAAAAACTTTATTCTGCTCAGGTTGTTACGACGTTACGTCAGTCAATCCTATGGAATGGCCAGTCATCCTGAATTGAATGCCTACTCTGATCCATGAGCTACACAAATATCGATGGCTTCTCTTGTCTCTTGGATTCTTTTGATTCAAAAGGTAAACTACTTGCAATCAATACAATAGTTCGATTATCTATGTTCGCCTGTATAACACTCGGAACGTATAGCTGGACTTGCAAATAGGTAGTTGTGGATTTTCTTCCGAACAAATAATACGGTGAATGTGTCTAGAGAAAGTACGAACTGTTCCCATTTATATCCTAGTATGCAAAATTATTGTCGGTAAAATACGGCAACAATTGAATAAAGAATGCAAGCGATAAAAACCATCTTTATTATAAATTTTGCCGGCAATCAAATTGAATTACACCCGAGCATTTGAAAGCCTTAACTATATAACAAAGAATCTTTGAATGATATATAAATGATCATATAAATAAAAAAAGAGATTTATAATGACATTTAGAATGATATTAATATTCGTTTTGATACATTCTTATCTCATGCATACTGGTTTCATAACTGTAGACATTCTATTAAAACAATACCCCTGTTAAGTAACAAAATGTTGTAAAGATATGTAAGAATGGTTGCAGAAAAGTACAATTTTGAACATCATAGAAAGTTTTCATTTCTAAGTAGTTTCTATATTCTTTCAAATCAATAACAACCAAAACATATATGTCAATTCGTATATACATATTTCAGATACCCGTTTTTGGTTTGTATTATCTGCCCTCAAGCAAAAGCAGATAAATAGAGGGAATAGACATACCAAGCAATATTCACCATTTCAACGAGTTGGATGTATCAAATATATAATAAGATATGTATAGGTCAAACGATATATTTAAAACTTAAATTTGCGAAACATGCATATCCTGTAAAACAATGTTGAATTAATTAATAAGCTTAAGTTAAAATGAAGGTCCTACAAGTAAAATGAAATATGTAAGCCAAAAAGACTCAGCTGCAGATTATGTTTGTAAACAAGGTCATCCTAATAACCACAGATGATTATTGATGATTTCAAATAGCAAAATAACACATCTTTTCTCATGGAGTCTAAGTATCCGATTTTGGTCTTGTATCTAAGCTGCACATCTCTCTTGATGACTCTTTTGATCTTAAAGAGATAAATTTCAATTCATGAATAAAAATATTTTATCATGTTATTTTTATTGTTAAGAAAATTAGATGCATGACTCTGAGATAAGATACACCCATCTAAGAGTAGTGTGGCTTTATTGTTGATTGTGCTTTCCATGCAGTGACAAATACTCTCGTCAACAGTGTAATTATCCCCAGGTAAAATCTGAAATAATACTAGACATATATCCCGGAAGTGTTGTCATTTTTGTAAATTCTATATTTTTTTATATAGCACTATAACATACGTTTAGAAGATTCTATCCCTCATACTGGTCCGCTCTCTTATCAGAACATGTCTCAGTTGAACATCGTACCAAATGTATTACCTTGTCCTATTGTGCAGTTCATAATTCTTGTGGAGCTTGAAATGTTTCGTTCCGGAGAAGAACTTTAACCAAAGCATAAAGAACAATGCCTTTGCGTTATAACAGTAATACATGTAACAACATATTCTAGCCTAATTGTCGTACCTCAGTCAAGGTGCTGGTTGTTTATTTTCAGAAATGCAATCACGTAAAATCTCGCGAATTCTAGCGATTCCGAATTCTTCCAACATTATCCGAAACTATGTGCATAATCTATACAGTATTAAGTTGACCAGGCTTGGCTGAGGAATATAGAGTATCATATTAAAAAAGATACCTGAAAAAAAGCCTGACATTGCATCGACGACTGTTGGTATCTAATTTTCTGACCGGTAAGTGAAATTTATGATTTTTGAAAATTAAAGATACTTTTATAAGTGTTGAAAAAATATACTTTTACAGCAATATCTCTTATAACCATTTAAATTTATAAAAAGGGGAAAATTTTATGGACAGAAATGAATCTGTTAAATATCAACATTGTAAAGAATGATAAAAAGTAGCGACAAATTTTCAGTTGTTTTGGCATTACATGTGTATGTTATGCACTGAATAATTTAACATACCAATTTATCTTTCTTAATCAATTTCTGGAAACATTTTCTCTATTGAATAGTTTCTAAATACAGTTTTCATGTTAGTTCAACAAGAATTCATCTTTTATTTATATAATCTTCACTATTTATTTAACATGAATGTTCTATTAAAAGATACAATTCACAAAATACCTTGCAAATTCTCGCGTTTTCTCTTTCTTTCGTATCGTTTTGAAAAATAAAGACACGATGCCGTAACTCTGGTCAATATATGACACTAAAAGACAATTAATTTAGTAACACTTGTCAATATGACGCTGGTCAATATGAGGGGGGGGGGAGAACTTACAACAAGTACGAGTAGCCCCTGAAAATGACATCGTGAGGCCTGGAGGAGCCACTGTTGTTGCTGTCTGTGTACTGTCTGAGCAATAGTTTGGATACATGGTAGCTGAGGATGCACTGATCACCTTTAATGGATAATATTTTAATTAAAGTACTTAATTACATAGCACATTTTGAAACATGAGTTCACACATTTCTTAAACTGTTCAATAACGTACAGTTTTCTGTTGAGTACGTTTTGTATAAATTGTGCTACTTACTAAGCAGGCAAACTGGAAGTTGACTCCAGGAGTATATTGATAGGACGTGGTCCCCACAACTGATCTATCATTATTCCAGAGCGAGAGAAAAGTGTATCCTCCACTGCTTATACTATGTACACAAGTCCAAATACCATTAGCTGTTACATTAAAAGATTGTTTTAATTAACCAAAATAATAGTTTATATGCATTCTTACTGACTAGAATAGGAAACTCAGACCTCTATTTTATTTCCTTTCAAAAACCTGATTTCAGATACAGTTAACTAAAATTCATGATTTGTCGCAATATATAAAAAAAAATTGTTGTTTTTTTTATTTTTGCTATAAGTATTTAAATTTTTCATTGTAAACGAATTTAACTTGAAAATATTTTTAACAGAGATCATATAAAATATGTAAGTGGTCTTATCTCACCCGAAAACTTTTGTGTTTTTCCACATCCGAAAGCGTACGTAAATCTCATCTCTGTTCTTTGGGTGCAGCCATCCATTGTATTACTGGAGCATGACGTACTTTCGGTAGAGCCATTTATTGTAACAGATCTATATGATGCCAGTAGATCAGTTGCACAGGTAGATGCTGATTCCCCCGTCGTAATGGAACCTTACAAAAGACAAGTCAGACACTGAAATTTTTAAAGGCCAGGTACTCATAAAATATATAACATTGCATGTAACTAAACACGAGACATTTCAATTTGTGTTAGTTTAAAAAAAGATATTCATAAAGCGTGTAGACTTTACACCAAAGGACTTGAAAAGTATTTTAGAATATCATTTTTAAGGATATCTTGACAATTTTATTAAAACAGAAAAGGAGTTTGCTTGTGCATGCCATCCCAGGATAATATAGAGGAAACGTGCACATATATTTGTATATCAACTAATAATTATTTTTTATTTAAATATTAATTGATAACTAGAGCAAAGCTCGTTGCAAAGCAACGAGAAGGTCTTCCGTCCTGTTTGACCGGAAGTAACTTTCATTTTTACAAAAATGAGTAATAGCGTCCTAAAATTGTTTAAATCCTCTAAATCTATGTTATTTAATGCATCAATCAGCCATTTTTTGCTACTTCCGGTTTGACCGGAAGTGACGACGACGGACGGAAAATTAATTTATAATGCTCCCAGTGACAGATGCAACCCAAAAACTTGTCAAGAATGGCAAAATATGCGTTTTCCGACTACTTCCGGTTTGGCCGGAAGTGACGTCACCGGACCTAATTTGACGACTTCAATAGATTGAGCTTGACATTTTGAACAACTTTGCTTCTTTGACGTTTTACAAATTTTTAATACTTATGAGATATAAAGGAAAAACTTTTGGCCCCTCTTGGCCCTTAATTTTAGGGACCAGCCCTTGTTCCGAGATATCTTTCGAAAGATCTTCTAATTCTGCACAAATTATGTTCTATATATTTTGACAAAATATTTTTAGTTTAAAAGATAAAAAGCAAAATATGAATAATTTTTGGCTCTTTTAAGCGTTCTAATTTCTGACCCCTAAATAGCGCCATTTTGAATAGTGAAATCGAAAAACAAAAACCGATGTGCACAACTTCAATCCTTCTATTATCTAAAATCAGAAGAATTTCTGCTCCAGCTTTAGCTGTCTCTGAGCCTTTGTCTTGAAACGAAAGCCTATAAATTTTCGTCTAAAGGGAAGTAACTCAAAACCGGAAGTGACTTTTTGAAATTTTTGACAGCATTCTGATAGAGTTTAGTAACTTCTAGTACCTCTGAAAATTTTAGCGGAATCAATTGAGAAATGAGTGAGATATGGGGCTTCAAATTTGGCGTCTAGGAAGTAGAAGAAAAAAAAAAAGAACTAGAGCCGAGCTCGTTGCAAAGCAACGAGTAGGTCTTCCGTTGGGGCTGTGGACAGGAAGTACAGACCTTGGGTCAAGGTCACTGCACTTTCTCATGTCAACAACCTTTCTTCCCAGCATGAGCCTCCAGTAAATTTTAATTACAAAGTTAGGCTTAAACATTTTTTTCTTTGTCAGTGACCTTGATTTGCCAGAAAGACATTTGATCAGGGTCATGACAAAACCTCCAATCATAAGTAATCTATCTTTCAAGTAAGAGCCTCCAATGATTTTCATTTACTTATTCATAGCGTAGTAAAGAAAATATTTCTTCTGTCAGTGACCTTGATCTTAACAGAATAACCTTGGCTCTGTGTCAAGACAAACACCTTTTAGTGATTAGAAGTTCATAACTCTGACAGAAATTTTACAACTTTTCTGTCATTGGCCGATGAAGATGTTTGAAATTTGCATTATCCCGTTCCATTTTGTCACAGGCATTGAGGTATTTTAAAACATCACCGGATATTAATATTCAAACAACATGGAGTTTCTATCTATGAAAGATAGACGGGGTTGAAAGTCCCTTCCATAATACGTATTTTAGGTAATAGCTTTACTTTCAATAAAATCAAACCCAAAAGTCCACAAATAAAATATCTTTCCTCATTTATTTCAAAGTTTGGGTAAAGGGGGTGAGGAGCATGGGGATGTCATGATGTATACGTAATACATTCGAGGTTATTATTCTGTTAGACAGGAAGACCCGAGGAGTTGTGATTTGCTGATCATGATCTAAAACACGTTGACAAACCGAAACCACATGGTTTTATACACATTATTCAATCAATTCATTCATGATTATTTTCCTTGAAGGAGGAATGCATGGATAAAGGATTAAAGAAAATTCCCGATGTACAATAGCATCCGTGCATGGGCTCCATTTTAGTACTACATAATGATATTGTGCTTGAAGCTGAATAAAATAATCAATTCTTCTACGATTATTGGCTACTTCAACGGAAAGCCGCGGACATTATTCTCCAATAAATCACCAACGTCATCAAAAAGTTATCAGATCAGAAACACGTATAAAACCTGTGCAGTTGAAATGTACATTTGACTTAAGAATGAAATACGTATTTAAACCACATTGATGTGTCGTCTTTTGCAATTTAAACACTGTATATTGCAGAAAGTGGCTGATGAATGTAGGTTTCTAAGGCCAAGCGGGGCTGTTTCCCGAACCTCCCTCCGCCATATTTAAACTCCGTGATCTTGGTAATAAAGTGGTAAAATAGGAAACTGATTTTGTTATTGTATATTCAAAAAGATTAATCTTTTTAAGATTAAAATAAAAGGCTAATTTTAATGCAGCGAAAGCTCAAATTGTCTGCACTCTATTCACAGGTAAACAAACAAATTTACATTCTGGTTTAAAGCAGCATGGTGACCTAATTCGATTCTCTATAGAGAAACGATCAGTCGTATTTTAGGGCTGCTAACTACATGTAGCAGAATAGAAATAAAGTCCTTGTTTTCGTGAATGATGCAGAATAACCTCCTCGATCTCCAAATGTTGTTTGAAATATAAAAGCCTCGGCTAACGCCTCGGCTTTTATCTTTCAAACAACATTTCTCGACCTCGGAGGTTATTCTGCAACATTCACGAAAACGCGGACTTTATTTCTTAAATAAATTAAATTTAAATAGGAAAGGGAGATTATGTTTAATAGAATAAAAATTAGACAATACTTGATACAGGGACTCGCTGTTAAAAACTTAAACGTACTTGAATAAAATGCCTCTCACTCGCTTTCTCTCGTACGCGTATTTTTTAAACTAGGGAAAGTAATTTGCGCTAGATATAAGTTCATCATTTTAAAAAAAATACTGAGTTATATACGGTAAACGATACAAATGGTTTGACTTTGGTGCCGGTTATGATTTTAACAGTTTAATTTAGGTTGTAAAAGCGTGTAATTACATGATAAGTCTGTAATATCAGATAAGATTGTTACCCCGGTATATAAGTTCTTAAATTTTCGATTCTGGACATATGCGGGTTTATTACTACTTGAATGTACATTGTATAACCTGCTAATGATATTTAATCACGGAACAAAATTACAATGTTAGCACACTATACTAATCATTTATACGGGTTTTGAATAATTTTAAAACAAATTTAGTTCATTGCTTTAAAATCATTTTTTCTTGAACTTTACTATAAATCCTGTAATATAAATTAATAGACAGTGTGCAGCACAGAAGTCACTTATGAAGTTTACACGTGCCGGTGTTTAGTCCATTTCATTGAGTATAATTCTATCCGTACGATTCGGAAAAATCTGTGATGAAAAAAAATGTGTTTCGGAAAACTTGTGTTGAAAACGGATTTATTTGTGTGTGAAAAGAGCAAAGCTTGTGCATTTTAATAAATATTGGTTGAAGTAAAGTAACTGCAGATCGCCAGTCCTTGCGCTTTGAATCGTCAAATTACACATGGAGCTAACGAATATTTAAGAATTGAAGACTGATTAATGTACATGTAAAATAAATGCCCCAGCGTTTTGAACTAAAGTCAAACCTAAAACATTTTATTGATAAGATATTTTGGAAAGATTTGATTTACTTAGAGAAAATAATATTTTCTTACTGTTGCAGAATGGTTTGTATATACCAATTATTTTGCCTATGCCTGGGGGGTCAATGGTTCACCGCGGTGTGTCGCTTTAGAATTTCTCGGCTGCGTGTAATCGAAAGATAGATTACGTAATGGTAAACACACTTAGAATCTGGGTTCCAGGTGAATTTGAGAATCGCGCAGTAAATAATAGTGTATTATTTGACTCTTAAAAGTTTTTTTTTTTATGAAATCCGGGCGAATATTGTTTCCGTTCAAATTGTTTGTGTTTATATTCAAACGAATAAAAGATACTCGTACTTTTTTTTCTATATCTCTTGGAAAAATCTTTATTAATAAAAGGAAAATGATACCATCGAATACTCTGAACGGGAAACAAAGAACACGTTTAAAACCTAATTTAAAAAAGAGATATGATACAGCGTGATAAAATATTTATTATTTACGGCAAGTTTATTTCAATTATACGCATAAAGAGTTTTTCAATATCAAAATGAGAACGGAGCCTTGTTTACGGTGAATACGAATCTAGCTTTCTTTCCTATTTCCTACCATACGTAAGACTCGAACAAAATACTATTTTCATGGGACAGAGATAGTATAAAAAGGAACAATTTTATCAATAATTAATTTAACCATTCTGTGGTGGTTTATTTTTTGTGTACATGTATGACTGCAGGTCGCTGGATCACACGCCGATTGATTCCCGGTGATCGACTTTGCCCCGCCGCTATCGAGGGAGGCGCGTTATATAATTGTAAACAAACAAGGTGAATGTTAAAGCCGTACCGCGTGTTCTTAATGGCTGTGAATAGTATATGTGCTTTTTAGTTATGTTTTATTTTCTCACTATATTGTTTGCTTTTATGTGATAAGAAGAAAAATTATATTTTCTTCCCTTTTTAGTAGACTTGGTTTATACGATTTTTAAAAAAATGAAATAAAAGGGAAAGTTATCAGTGAATAAACATGATAATTTGTAAGAAAAAAAGCACAAACACTTCGAGAACTTTATTCTGAAGAATATTAGCATCCAATGGAGTCATGTTTATTATTTATAGTAAGCTTGCTTTGGTTACACGCATAAGGAGCTCTCCTTTACGTGCTGAGTGAAAAGAATTACCTGTGCATATATAGGTCATGCACCAGTTCATTTAAAACAAGACTCGAACACAATAACAATTTCATGAGATCAGTAAGGAGTTAAAGCACAACTTTATAATCGATTGTCATTTCGAAATATTTACCGTTTTGAGTTATAAAGCAAAAACTTTCAAGGTCCATTGTTCCCTAATTATAGGGGCCAGCCCCTTTTGAATATTATTATATGAAAGCCCTTGCAATTATGCACAACTTTTGTTCATGATGTCTTAACAAAATATTTTTATTTTTCAAGATAAAAAGTAAAATATGTGTAAATTTTCGCTCTTTTAGTGTTACCTAAAATCAGTAAAAATTCTGCTCCAGCTTTTGTGGTCTCTGAGCCTTTATCCGGAAACGAAAGCCTATAAATTTTGGTTTAAAGGGAAATAACTCAAAACCGGAAGTGACTTTTTGAAATGTTAGATGCCACTCTGATAGAGTTTAATAATGTCTATAATGTCTGAAAATTTGAGCGAAATCCGTTGATAAATGAGTGAGATATGAGGCCTCAAAGTTGGCGTCTAGGAAGTAGAAGAAAAAAAAGAATAATAATCTTTACCAACAGAATCAGTAGAAGGTCTTCCGTTGGAAACGGAAGACCTTAACAATAATCTTTACCATCAGAATCAGTAGAAGGTCTTCCGTTGGAAACGGAAGACCTTAATAATGTTGCTGATTTCTTCATTAATTGTGCAATTATAAATTTCCTTTCAGTGACGTAGAATGTTGTGAAATATGTAGAACATTAATAATAATAAAGATAATATAGCGCAATAAACAAACAACCGAAAAAAGAGAGAACAATAATTGTATTTTTAATATTCTGCAACCTTCACAATATACTTATTTTAGATAAATCAAACGAACCTGATGCATAGTTGTAATAAAAATCGCGGTTTGTGATTTGTGCAAATTCCTATGCACAATACAACCATTGCCTGAGCTTGCAATTCATCACAGTTAAAATGAGATTGAATATTTTAATCAGAAATGTTACTTCTTTGGAAGGGTACATGAAGAAAACGGCATAATATAAATGAATTAGATACTGGAAATTCTCCACAACCGAATCTTAAAAGAATCCAATTACCCAAAGAAAAAATTACAGGTTTAGATTACCTTCTTTAACTAGCATCACAAACGATGACTTTCTGTACGGTTCTGCTAAGTCACAAATCTCATCTAACGTCCCATTTTTAACAATATCAATTGCTCCGATAATGTGGTCGTTGTTAATAGGAGCGATTGCTAAACGATAATCAAAAGTTCTTACCAAAAACAATTCTTTGATATTTGAACAAAAATCCAAGATCATTCCTTTAACTAATAAAGGTTTTTACATCCTCCTATAATGTCATATGTTTCTACAAAAACTATTATTAATTTAAATTCATTGCAAGTAGAACAATAATTTTCATAAGAATACTTTTCGCTAGGTGTAATGATAGATATTGTTAGGAAAAAGGAATTAAAAAAATCATGTTCTTTTTTCATCAATTATTCAGTCTTTAAAATATGTTGAAAAGGGCAATGACTCCTTATCGGGTATCTTCATTCAGACATTTTTAGCTCACCTGCGCCGAGGGCTCAAGTGAGCTTTTCTCATCAAAATCTGTCCATTGTCTGCATGTCTCTCGTCGTCGGTGTCGTTAACTTTTCAAATTTTTGATCTTCTTCCCAATAACCACAGGGCCAACTTTATCCAAACTTGCCACAAAGTATCCTTAGGTAAAGGGAATTCCAGTTAGTTCAAATGAAGGGCCACGCCCTTTTCCAAGGGGAGATAATTATGAATTAGTGAAAAAATTAATTGTATTTTTAAAAATATTCTTCTCCAGAAACACTTGGCCAGGAAAAATGAAACTCATGTGAAAGCATCCTCAGGTAGTGTAGATTTATGTTTGTTTAAATCATGACCCCAGATGATAGGGTGGGGCCACAGAGGCCGATCAAATTTTTACATAGGAGTATAAAGAAAAAATCTTTAAAAATCTTCTATTCAAGAACCACTGGGCCAGGAAAGATGAAAATCATATGGAAGCATTCTTGGGTAGTAGATTTATGTTTGTTCAAATCATGGCCCCAGGGGGTAAGGTAGGGCCACAATGGCTGATAAAAAATTACATACAAATAGGAAAATCTTTAAAAATCTTCTTCTCAAGGACTACTGGCCCAGGAAAGAGGAAACTCATATGGAATCATCCTCAGGTAGTGTAGATTCAAGTTTGTTCAAATCATGCAGGATATGACCCCAGGGTTAGGATGGGGCCAAAATGGCCGAACAAAGTTTTACAATACAGGAATGTATTGGAAAAATCTTTACAAATCTTCTTATCAAGAACCATTGAGACAGGGAAGATGAAACTCAGGTGGAATCATCCTCAGATAGTGTAGATTCAAGTTTATTCATATCATGATACCTGGGGGTAGAGTGGGGCCACCATGGCTGATAAAAATTTTACATAGGAATATATAGGAAAATTTTTTACAAATCTTCTTCTCAAGAAGATGAAACTCATGTGAAATCATCCTCAGGTAGTGTAGATTCAAGTTTGTTCAAATCATGACCCCCGGGTGTAGGGTTGGGCCAAAATGGCAGATCATATTTTTACATAGGAATATATAGGGAAGTCTTTTAAAATCTTCTTCACAAGTACTTCAAAGCCATAATTAGTGATATTTATATGGAATCATCCTCAGGTAGTGTAGATTTTAGTTTGTTCAAATCATAACCCCCAGGGATAGGGTAGGGCCACAATGGGGGATCCAAGTTTTTAATTAAAATATATTTAAAAAATCTTGTTCTCAAGAATAGCAAAGCCATGATTAGTGATACAAGTATTTATATAGAAGCATTCTCAGGTAGTGTAGAATTCAATCTGTTCAAATCATAGCCCCCAAGAGTAGGGTGGGGTCACAATGGTGGATCTAAGTTTTACATAGGAAAATAAAGGGAAAGCTCCCAAGAACAGAAAAGCTAAGTTGAGTCACGTTGACATGTAAGCATCCTCACATATCGAAGATTTAAATTTGTTCATATCATGACCCTTAGGGGCAGGGAGGGAAACAATGGGGAATCAAATTCAAATTATTACAAAGTAATTTATAGAAATTTAAAAAAAATCTTTTTATCAAGAAGAGCAAAGTCATATGCTGTATTGATATGAAGGCATTCTCAAGTAGTTTCAAAATTCAAGTCCCCCCCCCACCCCTACCCCCATAAAGTTTTCATTTATGATACATGTATGATTTGTGCTTTTTCCTAGCCAATGTTCTCAGGTGAGCGTTGTGGCCCATGGGCCTCTTGTCTTTATTGTACTTCTTGTGTAAAATAGTTTTCCTGATATTCACAATTCAAAATCATTTTAGAAGTAGCATATAGGAACTTTCAGCATCAGAACTATGCATTAGAACCAGTTTTTACTAAGTTTCTATCATAATATTTATAAAAAGTGTACACTTTAATGCTGACATATACTTCTGTTTATCTATGTTTCCCATCTTAAAAAATATGGCGACATATACATTTTTGGCAATAATTAGTAAATTTAACCTATATTACATGAAAATAAATACAGTTTTTTTTTATTTTGGACCATTAAAATTGTGAAAGTTGAAAAACCTTAAGGTATACCTTTACTCAGATGAATAAAAATTCCACTGACAAGAACGAAAAACCGCCTATTGCAGATTGTACGCCTATGATTTTTGTGTTAAATTCCAATTTCAAATAACTAGGTCAATGATCTCGTTTTCATTCTAGTGGCCCCGAGAATTTCTCGAGAAATACCTCAATTTTTCACATTATGACCATTTCTTTCTTCACTCACAAAATATTACAAGCAACAAAGCTCTTTAAATAATGAAATATTATAGCAATGGAACAGAGTTCCTCTATATAAAAAATGAGTAGAGTTAGGGCAACAAACGTCAAAATTACAGTCCGAATTTCCTCTGTCATTTTTATATTTTTTTCCTTTATTTAATCAAAAATTACAAAAATCTGACTGTTAAGAACTTTAAATTATTTATAGCCTCAGTTAGTTTTGTTGCTCTCATTTTCATGGTATTAATATTATATGGGGTTAATGATCAAATTATTGAAAAATATTGTCTGGAGTGGTTTTTGTACATAATTTTGAATTTCTTTATTTCATAGCATTCATTTATTTGAAATAATTAATGAGCTTAAACAAATATTATATTTGCAGAATGATGTCTTGAAATACATATAACCTTTTCTTTGTGATTAATTTTGCAAGAAATAAAAAAATTGATAAAAATGAAAAATTAAAATTTTAGTCCGATTTTCCTATGCAAAGCCATACATTGAGTTTGGTTCCTGTATATTTTCTTCAAGTACTAACATATTAAAATTTCAAATTGATATTAGGATAAAACTTAGTTATCTTATCCATTTAGAACAATTTTTTATACAATATATTATACTTTATAAAATTTCCTTTCTGATTTCTGAAACCTGAATAAACGGCATCCTTAATTCACACTTTTATGTCTGGACAATTACTTTTTCAGATGTCCAAAAAGCTTAGGTTCAAAACCAATTTGACATTGAGGATGAATTTCAATTATTTTAAAACACCTTAAATTTAGTGATTTTAGATATTGGCGGATGTGAACCAACAGGGGATGCTTACTTTTTCCTAGACACCTTATTCCTCCTCTGAATACTCCGCAGGTACATTGATTAGCAGAGATTTGTATGGTACATGGATTTGTTTTAAATGAATCACTGTTTCTTATCTTTACCTTTTTAATGCTTATTTTGGTCTATTTTAATTGGACAATGATTTACTTACTTGTTCTGTGGTAATAATAATACTTTGTGCTGGAAACTCTCAATAGTTCTATACATAAATAACCACGAATATATTGACCAAACACAAGGGCTGTTTCAGTTGCTCTGAAATTAAGGTTTTTAAAAATAAGGATTGTTTTCTCCAATAAACATATAATACATGTATATTTGCAAACAACGAGAAATGTGTGTTCCAACACTTTCGGAATCTTATTTGATGGGATACCATTATTTATCGTGTCCAATGTAAACGCCCTATTATTCTTCGTTTAAGCAATGAAGTTGATTTTAACCTATGTTATAATACAATATATGCTACTTTACAATGTTAAGATATATCAAAACTTTACTTTTTTAAAGAATCTATCTCTATGCGGTTTTTTTTTATAGTTATGATATATCATGTAAAATAGGTTAAAATAAGCTCCATTCCTAGTAATATAATTTCAGTGTCGACAATCATGCAAATTATCCTGCAAAAATGGCTTCAAGTATTGAGCATAGTTAAAAAGTCACGTCAAGCGCAGTAATACGTAATGTTATACTATATTAAATAAATCTTAGATCCAAACAAATGGCGTGATACAACTAAAATTAAATTATTCTTAAGTTATTACCAGATTTAAATTTGTAATATTCAGGTCAAATCTGAAAGTCAAGGTCAGGGGATAAAAATCATTGCACGCTGGTTAATACATGTATCTTGTCACAGGTAAAGCACGTTGAATGCCCTATCTCTTCTTAACCACTCGTTAAAAGGGAGGATAATATTTTTGAAAAGTAGGTAAAATCTCATTTACTTATATATGACTGGGTAGAACGGTCTTTCCACCCACAAAAAATAGTTATGTATAATGAGAACATTCTGAAACACCGTGGTTTTTGTGATTTGTTATATTCAGAGCACAGTTAATGGTTTATCGGCTGTTGCTTCACATTCGACAATTTTTCACTCATATAGAGGCATCATCATATTAAAATGAAGCATCAACTTTAATTAGACATTACACAGTAGGTGCTGGCACGAAAAAGAACACTTCCTGCTCAATGACCAAGAGTGCTGAGTATAGTACAAAATTTGTAGCTCTCCACCGGCAAGTGGTGACGTCTGCATATAAATGAAAAATTCTCTAGAGGGACGTTAAACAATATACAATCAACCAATCAAAGCGTTTGACGAGAGACGAGTTTCTGCTTTTTAACGACCTAGGTCAGTCGCGACCTTGAATAGAGAACGCGACTTTTGTTCACAGAGAGCGGTGTAGCAAGATGGTTACCCTGATGAAAGGCACTGTACAGTAAAAATAGTTTTATTTTTTTTACTAATAAGATAAATAATTCAAAGTCAATAAGGATACCTAAGAAAATACTTTAATCATACCTCAGAACATATTTTTTGTCTCTGTTTATATAACATTCAAAGTCCAACGACTGCTGGGAGGCTGACATATAAATTGGATATCCCAATAAATGAGTAGAGTTGAATGAGAGTTTGCCTTTATAAGCGCTGTACCAGTCGCCTGTGATCTCTGAAGGGAAGGTGCAAGCACTTTCTAAAAAAAAAAACAAGAAAATAAAATTGCTGTTTTGCAGTTATAAATAATTCATAGTTTTAGGAAAGATATGGAGATAACGAACAGTATTCAATAACAAAGTCCATAAAACAATACAAAATAGGAGAAGAGCAAACACGGACCTCCGAAACATCAGAGGTGGGATCAGGTGCCATGGAGGAGTGAGCATCCCCTGCTGACCGGTCACACCCACCGTGTGCTCCTTGTCATGATCGGAAAAATCCGTCGTCAACTCAGTGTATAAATAATGGACTAACAATTAGTATGAATAACGTCAGTCAGCATTCAGGACCGTTTTCATATTTTAATGCACACATTTTAGGTCTAAAATTGTCGTTTTCAATTTATTTTACTGAATACTGCAATTTGTTTAAGTTTGCATACCTGTTAACACTTGTATAAGTTTACATCAAAAACTCAAAATTAGGCCTTTCTTTTTTAATGGTATTGTAAAACAAAAATTTTATATAAATTATGAATATAAGGAAGTTTTTATAACTCAGTTGCACTGTAAGCAAGGAAAAAGTCGCATAATATGAGTACCGGAAAAATCGAAATGTTGTATCTATTGTGTTTGTTTCTATCGTCAATTTCAACATTAAGTTCTTTAATGAGGACTATTTTCTCATCTTCTTTGTAAAGATAATATCAAAATAATTATATAACTGATGCCGTTTGGTACCACACACCCGCCGTGTGCTGCTTTTCATGATAAAAAAAAAACAAATAACGGGAAAATATGGCGTAAATTCAGTGTGTAAATAATGGGCCAATAATGAGTATGAAACACGTCAGTCAGTATTTGACTCAATCATAAATTGTATTTGCTGAGAAGACCATTGCATCTACCAAAGAACTTCACCGGTATTGATAATCCATTAGACGAGAGAGAGAGAGAGAGAGAGAGAGAGAGAGAGAGAGAGAGAGAGAGAGAGAGAGAGAGAGAGAGAGGGTCATAAAAGCTATTTGAAATCTTTTTCTTCTTGATTATTTTTACATATCTGTACTTCAAAATTCCTTCATAGTTGTATTCGTAGATCTTCATGCTGCAGATTTTCTCCAAGAAATAAATAAAGATGAAAAAAGACCATGAATATTTTTTATACTTTTTCGTACAACTTACAATTCGGTTCTGGTACATATAAATAAAAGATGTTTCTGAAAACCTAACCGTATTTAAGTTCTGCATTCAATATACATGTAATATTTTAGCAAAGCTCCATGTTAATTTGATAATTATACCCCCCGCTTGAAAAGTGGGAGGGTATATAGTAATCGGGAGTTCCGTCCGTCCGTCTGTCCTTCCGTCTGTTACGCTTTATCTCTTATCTGCAACTCCTCTTATACTATTGAGTGAAATTTAATGAAACTTTCACAGAATCTTTATTACAGATTCCCATTGTGCACCTCCTATTTTACTTTTTTATTCGACACGTATTTTAGGTTTCCCATAGCAAAACATGGACATTGTCATAATATGTTTATACCCCCCCCCCCGCTTGAAAAGTGGGAGGGTATATAGTAATCGGTATTTCCGTCCGTCCGTCTGTTACGCTTTGGGGTACCCATCTCTTATCCGCAACTCCTCTCAAACCACTGAAGGAAATTTGAGGAAACTTTCACAGAATCTTTATTACATATTGCCATTGTGCACCTCCTATTTTTCTTTTTGATCTGACATATATTTTGGATTTTCCAGAGGAAAACATGGATACTGCCATTATATTCATATGGGAGGCGGGGGGTATTATTTTTTTATTTAATTTTTATTTCAACTTCCTAAATATACCTGATATTGTTACAAAGACGAGAAAAATTGCAAAGGATTTCCAAAGAAAGCTTGATATCATTTTCCCTTTCCACACTGGAACAGATTCTTGTTGAGAAGTCCCCGGGATGTATATGCAAAAGTTGCAGAAAATCACATTCTAAAATTAAACAAATTTGATTAGAACCAATTAGTGAGACTAGCCACTCCAGTTATTTTTTTTTCACTACACTACTTAGATAACATTTACATTGGATTTTTTCTTTAAGGGTGACTGCTTTATATGATGATATCTTCTTTTGTACTCTTTTATGAGACTTTTTCAATATAACAGTAAAATATTTTTTTCAGAAAGAAAACGTGGTTATTTTTTAGGATATCATTATATTGTTTGAGATATAATATGTAATACATTATAATATTGCTTTTATGTAGAGAAAATCTTCATTGTGTGAAATTATATTTGCTTTTTCCAGCCTATTGAAATGACATATTTTGGCATGACATGTGCCATTTCATAGTGTTTGGAAAGACAAGTTGAATCACACAAGTATAGAAACAATTATCTGAGCCCTATTAAATAAATAATTGGGCACGAATATGTGTACTCTTTGATATTTTAATGGTGCCTCTGATCTTAATACAATCCCTTGAGTCAATAACCGCTACTGTTCTGCAGAACTACCAATCCACAACTCCACACACGAAGCATGTATAATATAAACCGATCTAGACTTAGCAGTCAAAATGAGATTCGTCTGTCCGTGCAGTTTAGCAACTTTGTCGTAAGAAAAATGTACATGTATACGCAAGTGAGTTAAGGCTAAAATGGCTATTTCTATGCAAATGAGCTGATAAAAAATTCATTAATTGTATAACATTAAGGAGAATAATCTGAAAATTAATGCAATTGCTGCACAAATTCTATGTACTTCCTCGATCGATAAAAATTTTTAGGAAACTTACACTGGACTATGAATTTTTACCCTGTTTTAACTTAAAACTGCACAAATACTAACTAAACAATTGCAGTGCCGACATTTGTGCAGTAACATTTTAAATCCTTGGAATATCCTGCGTCTTTTTAGGCGCCAAGCGCAGCGCAAAGCGCTTTCTGTCAGCGTAAATCTACTTCCGTTCGCGATCCAGCGCGACTATAAGCAAGTTAGATAACTCCCCAGAGGCGTAGTCACAAACTTAAAAGTGGGGGGCTCAAGTCCAGAAATTCTTTAACAAGCAAAAAAAAAAAAAGAAAAAAAAAAACTGAAAAGTGGGGGGGCTCAAGTCCAGAAATTCTTGAACAAGCAAAAAAAAAAAGAAAAAAAAAAATTAAAAGTGGGGGGGGGGGGGGGGGGGGGCTCAAGTCCAGAAATTCTTTGACAAGCAAAAAAAAAAAAAAAAAAAGCTTAAAAGTGGGGGGGGGGGCTCAAGTCCAGAAATTCTTTGACGTGCAAAAAAAAAAAAAAAAAAAAAAAAAAAGTATAGTTCCCCAAACTCGAAAATCCTATTTCGTGGGGGGGGGGGGGGGGGGGGGGGGGGGGGGGGGTTGTGGGTTGTGGCCAACTTTTTTTCAAAGGCAAGTTACTTTCAATTTCAATTTTTCTACACAATTTTATTATACAACTATGTATTAATAATATTTCAAAATTGCTGTGATTTTGTTCATTAAAAAGTGGGGGGCACAGACATACTCTTGCCCCCCCCCCCCCAGATCTGAAAGTGGGGGGGGGGCTAGTGCCCCCGCTGCCCCCCCCTGTGACTACGCCTATGCTCCTCTTGTTATTCTAAAAATATGCAACTGGAAATATCTGACTCTCTTCCAGCTATTTTAGTTTACTGCGGCATTATGTGTATTTCTAATAATAGGAAGCAGTTAGTAAGGTAAAGGGATATTCGACAGATAGTAGATAAATGCAGTTCTTATTATGCTCCTAACTATACATTGTAGTTCATTTAAATCATGTCGGCACATATTACTTTTGTATCATGTAGCTAATAATTGCTGCATCTATATTATTTATCATGTAATATAGTGATTGAATAAGTACCTAATTTAAAACTCAGATGGGATTTTATTACTTAAGTTTTACACAGCTGTAAATCTCAAACTTGAAGTGAGTTACTAATATTCAGTATTTAAAAAGAATAAAATTGATTAACAATGTACTACTTACATAATATGGTGTGTTCTTTATAACTTATATCAATATAAACTATTTTTTTTCTTCTAGACCCTTATGAAACTAAATGTAACTAAAACAATTAAGCCTTCCTTTTAACACCTTGCACCATGCTGAGAGCTATCAGTGATGTTGATTTTCGCATCTAAGTATCAATTAGTAACAGACTGCAATGCATCCATGGACTGTCTTTTTAATGTCTTTACTTGTGTTAAACATTATACTTATATCATATGAGTAAAACATATTATGTAAATAATTCGAAAGGAAAGGCAGTTTCTGTGGCTGTAAAGACATATAGGGCATGTGGTGGTTGTGTTTTCATCCCATCTATTCAAATAGTAAAACTTATTTCACAGAATATTGTGCTTTAAAATTGTGTGTGTAGTGTGCAGAATATGGCGCAAAATGCTAAAACCTTAATTAACATTCTTAGCAATGGACAGGAATAGGGCTAATGTAATGTTAAGCAAACAGTTGAATACTTGAAGTAGAAAACTATAAAGAAGAAATAGTTTATGTAAAAATGTGCCTCAGCTGTGTTGCCGATTCTTAACGAAGACTAAATAAAAACAGAATAAAACAATGTTGTATATCTTAATGAAGATTAAGTAATACTTGAGATTAATAATTGCATATATTTTCTTTCTTGGTCTCTTGAATTAGTTATCATTGAAAAAACAGAAAAATAATGAGCAATTATTTACCGTATTCCTTTTCAACTAGCACAACAATGCCGTAGATTTGTTTTTCCTCTCAGCATGTTTTGCATGGTAGTGAAAATTAGAACATTCATATACAAGTAAAGAATGATGTAAAGCATCAAGCGTCCGTAAAAATAATATTGAAGCTTTTTAAATTATTTTAACAAAAGTCAAAAATGTTTTGGGGGTTTAATGAATTTTTTTATGCCAGAGAAGAAAAGTGTAAAAAAATTTATTGTAAAAAAGTAATATTTACAAATGAGTAAAACATATTGTGATATCAACACAATTGTTACTGCAAATATGCCATAAATCATGTATTTGAAAATCAGAGATTAAAGGATGGCATCGAAAGATAAATATAATAGTTTTATATTCAATGTTTATTTACCTATTAAATATATCAGACAAAAAGGGTGTTAATTCTACGAATGCCTATTTCATTTACATAGAGTTTTGTCACATGACGACGTTACAAACATGATGCCGGAATAATTCGCTTTTTATTAAAAATGATCACCAGAAGATTTTGGCTATCAGTGTTGCACACAAATGAAAGTAATTTTAGCGAAATTTTCAAGTGTTCAAATTTATTTAAAATATACATTTTCCAGCAACTGTATCGATACTTTTAAACTCTAAGTTTTATCGGAGAACTCGATTGCCATCGCCCTTCCAATAAATATCAATTTATACGCAAATATTACCTCTAATAGATTCCTACAAGGCGATGGGGAAAGAAAATGTTTTTACACGGAGAAATATTTTCTTGCAATTTCATGTATATGATACTGATTGATTTTTTGACAGAAGAAAGAAAAGGCATAAGACAATGTTGAATTTTATAATCCAACGGGAAGTTTTCAGGGCTAACATATTTGATTATGTACCAAACAACTGTGCTGACCCAATCGCTGTCGCACTGTCAACATATTGCTTAAAATTCAAGACAACAGGAAATTAAAATTCAAAATAATTCTGATGATTTGCAAATCAATATGCTTAGCGCTTTCCAGTACTTCCAGTATTTTGATTATATCTTGTTTCTGTAAAACAAAGTAAGGTATGCCCTTGCGCCGAAGCGATTTTGTTGATGTTTCTTGTAAACTTGTGTAGTAGATGTCGATGACGTAATAATTATACTGGCTATCGCATGTCGTGGGCACCAAGAATATATAGAAGAAAACAAGTCTTAACATTTTTTGTGCGGTAAGTAGAACAATTATGGAATTTAATTCGCTATTTTATATAGAAACCTCCATATGTAGCCTAACCTCACTTGTGTATTTAAAATACTTTCAAATATACAAATTATTTTTTTCAATTTCTGTTAAAACATTTATATTGATTTTAACATATGCAACTAAATACCGAGGTACTCTGAATAAATTTGACGAATATTATTGAAAACATAACGATAACTTTTCTTTTTCATATGAAATTTATATTGGGGTATACATGTATCTTATATAAATCATGTCAGGTGCCTATGATGTTACTGATTTTCTTCAACACTAGATCTACATGAACAAGTTCACGAAAAATTGCATTAACAAGCAATGATCAAATTCAAATATCTATTAAAACATTCAATTTGAAGCAGGGCAAACAAGAAACTTCTAAAATGTACCATGTTTGGGTGAACATTCTCTGTATATCAGTTAGACCTTCCATGCACTAGACATGATCGGAAAAAGGAAAAAAAACATGTTCACAATTCAATGTGTAAATAGTTACAAAATAAATTCTATTTTTTAAAAACAGCTGTCAGCAATCAACTTAATAGAAATTGTATTTCCTGGTAAATTTATGGTATCGTCCATAAAGCTTGAACAATTATGCTTTCGTTAGAATCTGTTGATATATTTTATTCCTTGTATTGGAAACTGCTTGTACGTAGGCTATGATTTTGCGTACTTGAGTATGACACTGGGGTACTTACATCTTACATCTAAAATGCAGATGAAAAATATATTGCTCTAAAAATAATTTAGCGGAGTTGAAAATAGAAAAGATAAAGTTATCACGTTTATCCTAACGATTTCTTGTTAGATTACTTTTTTTTTATTTTTTTCTGGTAAAATATCAAATATGAAACAGCTGTCAGACTCTGTGGTATCTTTTGTATAAAATTCACCGTATATAAATCCTATCGACATAAAAATAGAAATTACACGTACTTACCTTCTTTTAGAATTTGTTCATACGTTGAGCATTCTCTTGAATCTCAAATCAACTGAGAGATATTACTGTAACTCCTTATTCAGGTGAT